ATGGGAAGATTCAAACAAACAATAGTAAATGTATTTAATTAATTAATCAAGTTATTATATAATTAAAAGACATAAGCTAGTTAAATACAATACAGGTATCCTGTTAATAGGAAAAATTCAAAGGCATTGAATAAGTATAAGTTAATCCTATTCAATAACTGGTGGTTTCTGTTGATAGGTTCCATTTTAAATTCGATGTAAGTAAACTTACTTTTACCTTTATCATTCATTGAAATAAGGTGGTCTGTTTGAATATCTGGGCTAAATGTTCCTTCTATATAGATATTTCAACAAGTTATCTAAATTTTGTTTGTTTTAATACATCGTAATGATTATTAATAGTATAGATCAGAAGGGGTTTTGTGGAGAATTTAGTATTTTCATAGTTGAAATCATGAGTTAATTGAAGCTAGACCACCATGGAAAACCTGGAAGCACTGGACAGCCGTTCGGTTCCGGCTAAGTGGTCTATCGGTTAAGTGCTCTGACGTGAGACTGATAGGTCCTGGGTTCGAATCTCGCGAGTGCGGGGTCGTGGACGCGCACTGTAATAACTAATTTAAGTCTAATCACAACGAACCTATATACTATCTCACAAAAATCCTAAACTTCAATGTAGCGCAAAAATTTATTGATTTGAGTATTCACTAATTTGAACTCTGATGCAATTATAGTAGTCCAGGCAACTGAGTAGTATCGTAATTCATAGAACCCTGATTTGTTACGGAACACAAAGCATATACTTACTTTGATGATTGAGTAATGTAGTTTGTATCGATACTGAACAAAAATTCTCCTATAGATTCATCTAATCTTTTAACACACTAAAATAATTTTTATAAAATAGATGGATTGTAGTTAGAAGAGAAATCAAAGACCCACTTTTCATCCTATTTGGAACTCTTCAGTTAGATATACTTATATCTCAGTGTTGTTGATTACATTAGGACTCGAACCCAGTATTTTTTTTGCCTCGAATGCCAACCGGTTATCCACTCATCTACTGAATCCATATAGGCACTAACTTGTTTATTCAGTGTAGTGTTTATATAACTATCATAAAGGCTTGAATGATCGCGTTTCTAATATTCTTAACTGAATTTTTATCTCTGTTTGTTGGCATTCATGTATTCTGTGTGGATTACCTCGAAATGGTCATTTTTCCACAAGTTTTAATAGAATAGATGGAACTACTGAAATAAAGTTACTCACTTAATTATCCGTCTGAGAAAAATATCGCCATTTTTGTCATTAAAGAAATGTTGAATGTGAGAATGGTTAGTTGTAAGGGGAAAATTGTCAATTTTTTTCCGTCGAACGAGACATCCACAACACAGGAGTCATCAGTAAAATATTTGAACTCAAATAAAGGGCGGACAGTTATTTAAAATTCTTAACGGCTAGAGTATATCTTGAAGTTGTGAAAATGGAAGATCATTACTCATCATATGATGTGATCAACTAAATTATTCTATTTTTATCTTGGTAATCTCTAAATAACTAACGGTAAGTACTGTTGAGGATGTCAAATCTAAAATCACTAAGTACTTCTTTCTTGTATTTAAATTTCCATCCTTCGACACCAAGCATCCCTATCTCTGCGTAGTAAATCCCATGAAAGTCCCACTTAGGTGATTGTGTGTTTATTTCTGTGGTTAACTTCATTCCTGTTGATTGATGGACACTGAATCGTTTTCGTTATCCTTAAAAAAATTAATAAGTCTTTTCACGGTTGTAGTTGTTAATTCTTCCAAGTTGTATTTTTAAAAGATAGATGATACCTAGTGTCAAGATGTGATCAGACTTAAAATTTAAGGTCTGTTTATTAGCAGCAATTTATTTAGTCATTATAGCAAAATAGGAAGTCATTTTATGAAATGCTACATGATGTATATATGTAGACTACAAGCATCAATCACTTGGCAATTTCATTGGAATCACAAACCTGTTTAAGACAGACCATCTCTGAAAACCTGATAGCACTGAGCAGCCAGTTCATTTTGGTATGTGGCAGTTCTGAGCATTTCATATACACGACTCTGCATGCAGGGACCGAATCCAGGACCTTCAGTCTCGCATACAAACTCAGGAAATTCCCTCTCACATCTAGTCACTAGTGAGCACATAACAACTGTCAATAAGGAATTGTAGGCATTAACACTTATGGGTTGCTTGGAGTTTAAGGATTCATACGTTGTTGGTTCGATTTCAATGTGCGAAGTTCTGTAGAAATTTTATACTATGGCAAAACGGCCGTTCATTGCTATCGAGTTTTCAATGGTTGTCTAACATTGATCGGTTTGTGATCTCAATGTAACTCAATAATCTCCACAGAACCTTACTGACAATTGTTAATTATAATGTTTATGCATACTGATACCATTTAAATAAGTCCTCAATGAACAATTTAGTTAATAATAATATCATAAAGTACCAGTAACTTGAACAATTAGATGATAGACTTATACAAGTCAGCTTGCTCAACATGTCAGTCGGATTATATCTGATATTTTTGGATTTTTCACATGACCTATCCTGAAAGTTTGTCGAACTTAGGATGTTTGTTTTCTTACTGGTCAGTTGTCCTTTTAGTGAGTTGATTTTTTGTCATACATTCAAGGTCATTGTACCTATTATTTAGTGCGCATGTGTTGATAACCTCAATCAGTTTTGTTTAGAATGTGGACAATCAGTAAACAAGGTGACATATATCATATATCAATTTCGATTGATGGTTAATATAAAAGGCATGAATCCATCTCACTAAATTTATACAATGAATCTATACTACTATTAAGTAGTTAAAATATATCTACACATGTTTTGCCACCAAACAATTATTGAAGGATTGCCGGTGTCCGTTAACCTTATTTATATATGATATTCGACCATTAAGCACGGAGGGTAGGTATATCCGCTTTTTAATTAAGTGTAGACACCATTTATCAACTTCAAAATAACTATTTCGAGCAATGCAGTAATGTGCAATTATGAAGTAGTTTAAATCACGAACTAATATTAGCTAGGCCGACATTGAAAACACGGGAACACTGGATGATCGTTTCAAACCAGCGTAGGACTTCTCAGAAGCATTCAATCATGATCATGCATCCGGAAATGGAAGTGAGAACCTTCAGTTTCTCACGCGAACATCTTATCTGTAGACCACCTAGCCGACTTCCAACGGTTATTGACAAACTTCAATCAATCCCTGATATTACGCAGCAATTTTTAATTGTCTTCAGTGGGTAACTTCTCTACACAGCATGCTACTGAACGCCACTAGTCACGTCTTTTTGCAAGAGCTTAGGTAATTATCCCTAGCAATTAGGCACTACTGAGTATATGATAATTGTCATTATAACGCTTTTGTAGGGGTTATTGAATGTTGTTAAGATTACAAACCAACCTAAAAAAGATAGGCAATTAAAACGAAGAATCACTGGATACCTCTGTCTTTACAGTGTGATAATCCTCAGATTATATCGTGGTAGTGAACTTCTGAATAGCTCCACAACAGGATGAAAATTTTGTCTTGTGTTTTTTCGTTTTCAATATTTGTCTAACTTCTGTCGGTTTGTAAAACTTATAACATCCAACATCCCTCATAGACGCGCGTATACTAAGAAAATTATGTTCACGAGTAGTACTGTTATCAAACAAGAAGATGTAATTAGTATGGAGTTAATAAAATGTGTGTAGCTATATATTGATGTTTGCAAACAAAATTTTTGGAGAACTAAGGAAGTAATATTTGACTTCTAGACACTAATAAGATTCTCACTGGAAACAATTATTGTATTTATAGGAGTGGTGGATGGTACCAACATCAGTTTCTTTTTACTTACAAGTTAATATTTGAGGATTTAGTCAGAAAATATTGGATATTTGCGCAATAATAACTGAAGTGGAAGAATTGTAACGGAATACGTACTTTACTAAAGTATGAAAGTGTTTCAAAGTTTAATTAAAGCTGAATATTACCATACCCAAGTTAATTTATCTTTCATACATCTCGCAAACACCTATACACAGACAGTATTACATTGTTTTGGTTATAAAAAATACATTGTCTTTCAGGTCCTAACTTATAGTCATTATTATATCATAAGGCTATGGATTTTTTTCTATCGCATTGAAATTAACAACGATTTTAAGTAGAAACTGATGGTATAATACATTAAGCCCAATGGTTATACAATTACAAATTTAATTATGAAGATCTACCGAATAAATATCCCAGTAAGAAGTCACAAATCAATATCTGTTTACCGGATTCTATAAACAACAGCCTACTATAGCAGAGAACAAAGCAGCTCTCAGCTCAAGAGGACGTTCGTTATAGACTATGGAGGTGGACAGGGCACACATTGCAGAAATCATTAAACTACATCACGGGGAAAACGCTAACTTGAAATACTGAAGAGATACAATAAAGAGGAATACCAAAGAACACATTACATCGGAAATTGGAAGTAGACATGAATAGGATGAATAGCAACAGTGTTGGATGGAGAATGCTAATGAGCGATCTATACTTCTCCACGAAGAGTAACAGGCATAAATAATTAAGTAAGTAAAAAGTTACAAAACTGGTTGAAATTACTACTTTATACAATTTCTTTTTATTAATCAACTTCAAATTGAAATAGTTGCCATAAAATATCAGTTTAATAAAACAAATTTTTTAGTTTCTTTTTTCAAATGACATCTTTCTTTATTGTTACTATAGTAACCAAATTTAAAAAGAATATAGAACAATATGTTCATGTTACAAAGTGGATTCAATATTTGGTTACCAAGATGAATAAATAATTCGAAATATTACGCAATATATATATATATAGGCACTTGATTGATTTCTTTATTTGTATCCTACAAAAATCAATATCTTATTTGTTTTATTACAATGTGAAATTCAATCAAATTCTTTTCCCTTTTTTTCTTTTTTTCTTTTTTTTTTAATTTTCTGTATAATAAATTGATCCTTAAATTATTGATTAAGAATATGTTAATTGAAAACGTAATAAACATTGGGTCAACCAATTGGAATAATATAAATGAGCAATTGGTAAGATGATATGCTGAAAGGGAAAAAAAAAGAAGAGAAAACATTAATAAAATATGAATATAGATAGAAACAGAAGGGGATTTGTGGAGATTTCAGTATTTTTCAAAGTTGAAATCATGAGTCAATTGAAGCTAGACCACCATCGAAAATCTGGAAGCACTGGTACTGGTAGGTCCTGGGTTCGAATCTCGCGAGTGCGGGATCGTGGATGCGAACTGCTGAGGAGTCCCATAATAGAACGAAACGGCTGTCCAGTGCTTCCAGGTTTTCGATGGTGGTCTAGCTTCAATTGACTCATGATTTCAACTTTGAAAAATAGATAGAAACAATGAAAAGAAAAACGACAAAAAAGATACAACTATCGGTGGGGTAATCGGAGTAAAGAATGAGTCTGTTAATAACTTGGGATCGCTTGAATGCCTTGTTAATGTATAACGTGACGATGCCACCAATTGGAGAATGGAGAATTATCGATAGGACCAGTGATACACGAAACATGTACGAGTAGTCTAGAGTAATTGTCGGTCGTGCTTTTTGACTAGTCCAACAAGTTAAGTTCAGAAAAGCCTCTGTAGTATGAACCGTTATATTTCAAACATATTGAGTTTATATATCAAACAGACTGACCACATCGTACCAATAAGATAGAAAATAACATTTGTACAAGATGTAGCAAAATGTGGCTGTGAATGTGGGAGGCAGCAATTAATAGACTAGGGATAACTTAAGAATAGTAAATCGTATAAGAATAGTTTACACGTCAAAACGAATGCAGAGTCTTCTGTTAGAACTGAGTGATAATGACAGGATGTTTGCGATGCGTTTCTCTCCATCCAAATTTATATTGTTACTCCAGTACTGGCCTGCATCAACACCTGAACTAAAGATAGGGAGTGAATTAGTCGAACGCGTCGACAACTTCACTTATCTTGGAAGTCTGATCAGCCCTAATGGGTTGGTGTCAGACGAAATCTCAGCACGGATTCAAAAAGCTCGTTTGGCTTTTGCCAACTTACGTCACCTATGGCGTAGACGAGATATCCGTCTATCAATTAAGGGACGAGCATACTGAGCAGCAGTTCGCTCTGTTCTACTTTACAGCTGTGAAACATGGCCATTAAGAGTAGAGGATACTCGTAGGTTACTAGTATTTGACCACAGACGCCTTAGAAATATTTCTCGCATCTGCTGGGATCACCGGGTAAGTAATCGTGAGGTTAGACACAGGGTATTAGGAAATGATGGTAAATCAGTTGATGAGGTCATGAATCTTCATCGACTGAGATGGTTGAGCCACTTGTTACGTATGCCTGAACACCGATTACCACGATGCTCTATGCTGACTAGTGTAGGGGATGGTTGGAAGAGAGTTAGAGACGGCCAAACGAAAACGTGGCATCAGTGCTTGAAGTCACTAACTTCTAGTCTAAGCCATGTTGGTAGATGCAGACTACTTGGTTGGGGTCTACGTGACTATTGTAACCAATGGTTGGAGACTCTAGTGACATGGCTCAGAATCGATCACAATGGCGTAGGTGTATACACTCTTTATCTTCCCTTAAACCTTGAGATTAAAATTGCTTCATAACTTTTTTCCTTCCTATACTATATCCTTATATACAACCTTTCTTTATATACTACCACCACTAAATTAACTATTTCTATGAATTCGGTGTTCATCTTGTTGTGCTAACGAGGTATGGCAACTTGGACCGATGCATATGTGTGCCTGGTCCTACGTTGTAGCTGACTGACTGACAGGTCAAAATAAAGCTTATAATAAAGAGAACATGAATATGAATAGTTTAGTTATTTAGCGATCATACGATAAAAAATATATGCATAATATAGGTCCATAAATGGATCCCAACGTTACCATTCACTATTGTTATCGGGACATAATACCTACATCTGGCTATATTTATTAAGTGATAATCGCACAATCACACATACACACTCACGCATACACCCAGTATAAACACACATACGCACACACATTTACACTCGTTATTATCTCATGTCAGATGTCTGTCAATGTCTGCAGCTTATCAAGAATTCTCACGATGATTTTGTAACTGAGACGTGAACTATATTGTATGTTGATCGGTTCAAGCATTCAATCAAATTGTGACTGTCGACCATCCATATACGGTAACGTTCTTTCTTCATCCAAACACGTTCACTTTTAATCAGTGAAATTCGATGAGCAAAATCGTACTCAAGAAAACATTTACTTCATTTTCAGTGAATTTTCTCTTTTTTTAAACAACTCATGTTTTATCCTTTGGTAACTGACTACTTATATATGTATTAGTAGTTAAAATTTAAATGTAATACAATCTCAGCCGATGAATATTAGCCCGAAAAATAGTGAATCAAAAAGGATGAAAAGATCAAAGTAACAATACGTTCTTTAGTCTTTCTAATACAGTAAGTTAGAGCAAACTAGTCAGAATGAATTAAAGCTAGTGATAAGAATAAGAACACATTTAAATAAACTTCGAGCACTTGTGATGTACACAAAATCACTGAGCATATTTAATAAACTGATTGTATTATTAAGTAAATATAATGGAGGCGAATATAATCGCATTTATTCCTTAATTTATTGAATACTGCCCATATCGGTAACCAGTCTCGCGTACGATTGAGTACAACATTCTGTACTACAGTTAACGTTTGGAACCTAGAAATACTGACCACCTATCTAGGGTGAAATATTTACAATCTTTGGTTGGAACGCCAGATCTATGTGATGACAGTTCGTCCAACAGTTTTTAGTAAAACAAACATTACCATGATGGCAATTTTTTATTGTTGATGTAAAGTGGTTAAAAAACGAATACTATAAAAGTGGGAGTATATATTCAAGACATGTTTTATGTTTAGAAATTTGACTACTTAAATAACTAGTAGTAGTTACATTCTGCATGTAAAAGTTTTAAGTCAAGATAATATGACTTACTTTATAAAACATATTATTTTTATTTGAACTGATGGTTAATTTCATCCTGGATTTTTCTTGGTCAATAGAGGTGAAGGCAAAATCAAACCTTGTCTCTAACCAGTCGTCTAGGATAAAGCTGAAGCTGGTATTTGGCTCAACTGATAATATTTGTGCAACATATGACATAGTACCTGTAACGACGAATATAGAAAATAAATTTTTCATTTGTAAATTTTAATTGATTAGCATACTCTGTCATACATTAACTTGGTTGCATAGTGAGAATCAACTTGTTATTGCCCGAAACTTATTACAATGATGTATAGTGTATGTTTACTTAATAGAAATCGAAATAAGTGGAAATTTTTGATAAGATTTAATTAGAACACTTGATATCCTAACTTGATCTCAACTTAGAGAGGTGGATTAGAACTTTGAAGCACTATATAGTTCAATCAGTACAATCTGAAATATGCCTTTATTTCTGTAATATCAGGCATCGAACCTTTTCAGTCTTATTAAGTTGAACAAGGAGTAAAAGTAACCCTTTCGCAGCCATAACAAACAGCTATGCTAGTAGTGGTAATTAGCACTTTTTCAAGAACCGACATATTCATAAGGTAATTTGTTTATATGATAAGTATGTAAAGATCCCAGAAGAAGCAAGTGATTATTGCATGGAGATAAGGAGTTTAAAGAAATGAAAGAGAAATTTTCAAGAGTGTAATGCCCGATAAACATTTTTCAAAAATCTAGATTACTAAAAGTCAGAATGTATTCAGTAGTGTAATTGCTCATCACGTATTAAATGATGACACTGATAATAATATCTTAAAGGTCAGTAGATAGATAGAATCAAGTTTATTGCGCTTGTTGAAGTCATTAAAAGGTTGAAATTAAAATTCGTATATTCAAAATGTTGGTAAGTGTAGACTACCTGGTTGGGATCAGCGAGATGATAAAAATCGATGGTTAGAGACCTTGAATGACATGGCTCAAAATCGTTTGCAATGGCGAAGGTGCATCCACTCTTTGTGTTCTGTCAAATCCTAATCTTCTGAATTCTTCATGTCCCTATCCTTTTTCTCTTTTCAAATTTATTTCATTGGATTATACTGTTTCAATAACATCTTCAAACCCGAATATTTCACATAATCCTTATACTCTTACTACTTCTACCACCATGGGGATTTGAATCGACAACTTCATTTCTGTGCTGATGTGGTATGGCAACACAAACTGATTTACGTACGTACGAAATTCTACGTTGTGACTGACTGACTGATATTCATAATGATATTATTGTTGATCTTTAATCGCTTTATTGACCACATATTTAAATACTTGACCATATGGCATATCAATTCAGGCATTTTTTGGAAACTCTCCTTTTCTTCTTTTGCTTTCTTTCTCAACTCTGCTTATCTAAATCTGTTTGTTCATTTTAGTTTTTTCTGCTAGAAGATGAAATCGCGTCAACTTTTACATTACTAAAATTTATTTTACTGCATTCAATTCCGTCTCCTTCTTTAGGGTATTCATATAATAAGTAGACGATTTTATGGATGATTTTTACAAACTCATATATCTAAAGTTTTTTATTAATCTGCATAAATGTCACTCCGTGTAACATCACGTCCTCGTGATTATGACATTTATTTTTAGCTTTTACATTTATGCTACTGTTTTGAGTTATAAGTAGTTGAAGTTAAGGTACAAAATAAATGGACACATATCGTGGGGATTTAGCTGTTGTTCTCAACTGATAGAAAATAATTTAGGGTAGAGATTGTATCAGACCATGTATACATTGAAAGTAATGATATAATAATTATTTTATGGCACTCATAAATATATATTACCTAAAAATCCGTAATCAACCACCATAACAAATTCTTCACCAATAGTAAGATGAGACGATTTCGTCAAATTTTCTATGGACAAAACAGAAGGTATCCACTGTAAGATAGAATATGAAAAAACAAATCAATAAAATGAGACAACTCCATTCATTCAAAATCATATCATTCAAACTGTCTACCGATAGATTAATACTGAACAGAATTAGAATGATGTAAATGATTTGGATTGTAAATAATTTGAGTAGTTCTTCTGAAAGTTTTTCTATTTAGTAAGTATGACTTTTCATTATAAGCTAATTTCATATGGAGAATTAGTAAAAACCAAAAATGAGGAGAAGCACCTGCTTTGTTTCAGTCTAGTACTGTATGAAAGTCTGAAGACATAACCCTACATAGGATAAAATGTAAGACTTACATATATCACAACAGGTATGATCATTATGTCATAGCCTACACAACACCTAATATATATTCATTAGTTCGAGGACTCCCTCACTTTGGACTAGCATTTCACGAAACATAAGTAATAGGAGGTAAAATAATATTATCGACTACATAAGGAATTTAAGCATTAGAAGTATCAGTCAGTCAGCGACAACGTAGGACTAGGCACATATATGCATAGGTCCAAGTTGCCATACCTCGTTAGCACAACAAGATGAACACTGGATTCATAGAAGTAATTAGAAGTATATTTTACAAGAAATCATTAAAGAACGAAAGTATAAAATGATTTCATACAATTTTTCCCTGTTGATAAATTTGGCTAAAGCAAGCACAATAAACGTAACAGAGTAGCATGAATTCAGCTCTATTTCGTAGTTTCTCATTCACTATTTACAACCTAGACATAGTAGTATTCATTATTTAAAAACTGGTGTTTAGCATTATGTCAGAAAGGTTTTTATCAGTAAGAATGAATGAAAAGGCTAATAAAAATGAAAAAATCACAAGTGTCTTTTTTTGAGAATGCTTGTCGATTGAATATATGCATGACCTGGAATAAGAACTAAGAGCATAGAAACAGAATTATTTAAATATAAAATAGCAACTTTGTAGTTATGTAATCAATAAAGTAAAATAGGGTTGAAGAATTGAGAGCAGATTAGATGCATGAATGCAATAGTTTGGTCTCAGTTTTTTTTGGAGACTGATTCAATTGGACATAGTAAATTTGACATTATTTGGTTACCAATTATATTGACAGACTTTGAGACATCAATTTCATAACTACTGCCAAGCAATTGGCGTTCAATTGAACTTCTGAGAATGTATTGTCCTTCTCATCCAAGCTTCTGTGGAATTTGGTCAGAGATGTGAACACCAACCCTTCTCTCTGTTCTATATATATATACAACTTTTCAGATGGATACATCTTTTTTATTATGGCTTACAAGCTAAAATCAATATTTTAGCTATTTCATCACCCTTGAGACCGAATCCTTCGAAGACAATATTTTACCCAACCATAGAATGAAGTGAAACTACTTTAAAGATTTAAAAATAGAAATACTATACTAATAATTATTATGTGTTCACTAGTAAAAACTTAGACAGGTAATTCTTGGAGTTCTAGTAAGAAGATGTGACCACGCCTTTAAATACGAGACGGTGGGTCATGGGTTTGAGTGCAGCATGTGGGATGGTGAATCTGCACAGTCGAGGAGTCCCATACTACAACGAAATGACCGTCCAGTGTTTTCAGGTTTTCAGTGATAGTTTAACATTAATCGGCTGATGATCTTAAATAATATTAACCCCAGTTAAAAATGAATTTTTTAATTAAAAGAGAATCTATAAAAAAATTATTTGAACAATAACGAACGAACTACTTCGTTGATTTGAGTAGTTCTGTTGAGATTCGTCACGATACCTAATAGGCTTGGACTCCATCCAACATCAGTCCATGAAGTCATTGACTATTAGTCTGAATCATTTTAGTAGATGCAGAGTACGTGGTCGGGCTTCAGAGAGATCTGTGGTTGAAGGAGTTAACCGAAATGGCCTAGAATGGCCATCATCGAATCAAAGTATTTCTTCATATTTACCTTTCCTCTTCGTCTTTTAAAATCATATTTACAATGCCAAGTCATTCTCATTATCACTCGTACTACAATATTCCGACTACTTTATTATTTGACTAGTTAATTTCAAATAGTTAGGACACTATGGTAATATCAACGCACGTTTGTACCATGATCTTCGCTGATCATAACTGACCAACTGAAATGATGAGTCTGACAGAAAATAGGATCGAACAGTTTTACAAATACTTTATAGATTTTATTGATTCTTCAACTAGCATCAGTTTTACAACAAAGGTGATCTTTGAAAGGAATATGTTTGTGTGCAAGAATTGAAGATAAAATCAATATTGACTAATGACTCATCAATTGACTCGTGATTTCAACCATATAAAATTAATAAAATCTTCACAAAACCCCTTCTGCTAATGATCATATGCTCATTGGTAACTGGCTCCATTAGGTATTTCCTGGAGTTGTAGTGAGAAGCAGTAATCATTTGAGTTCAACCAGATCTATAGGGAGATATCAACTTACTGATGACATTGGTGAATGGTTGCTCAATTTTGTGGATCAGTTGAAGTTAGACATTAACACCGTTGGATGCCGGCCAGCTCAATGGTCTATCGGTTAAGTGCTCAAGAGCAAGACTGATAGATTTTGGGTTCCAATCTCGCTCTCAAGGTGGGATCGTGGATGCGCACTGTTGAGGAGTCCCACAATAGGATGAAACGACTGTCCAGTGCTTCCAAGTTTTCCATGATGGTCTAGCTTAAATTAACTCATGATTTCAACTATATCAATTCAATATTATTCATTTATAAAAAGAAAAACAAAACAAACAACAACAACAAGATAATAACTATAACTTACACGAGGATAAGTATGAGGATTTGTAACATGATGATAACATTCATTGATTGATATTGAAATAACAACTTCTTTCTGTCCAATTTTTCCATTATGAATAACAACTAATCGACTTATTAATGCAAAGAAAAGTAATAAAGCAGCTAAAATTAATTTCATATTTAAATATTTTCAGTAAAAAACCAGATCTCTATTTTAAGTAACGGTCTGCTTTTATAAAAGTTATAATAAATATGATAAATAACAGTTACATATTATATTCAATAAAGAGTATAATGAGAGAAGAAAGAAAGAAAAATATAATAAATGAATAATTTATATCTTATTGGTCAGCTGATTTTTAACCAATCAAAATGAAGTAGATTTTATTGATTATTCTTATTTACTAAATACTATGACTACTATTCAATTATTACTCCCATAGTCAGAAAAGGGATATATATATTGTTAACCTAATGTTTTCTTATAACAATACATTTGTCAAGTACTATATAATGACCCTTTTTGTATATATATATATATATATATATATATATATATATATATATATATATATATATATATATATATATTGGTCGCAGTCCCAATAGCTCAGTGGTAACGTCTCTGACTGTGAAGCTGAGTGACACAGGATCGAATCAGTCAGGGAGCACCAGTTTCCTCAAGATTACAGGTACACCTTGTTGACAAGTGCCAAAATCACGAAACCCGGGTCCAGGGTTTCCTCTTGACCATCTCCAATCATCATCTTACCTTTTAGAATAGATATTTAATTCTAATGGACAAGTTCCTTTCATTTTAAGTTAATTGAATAAAGAAAAAAAATACTAAAATCGTATTGTTATATCCTAGTGTAGACGTAAGTACTAGTGTGGGGTGGTCTACTTATATCCATATAAGTAGTATATGATGATGGTAAGACATAGAATGTATTTTGGCAGATCAATAAGGAAAGAACAGAAATGAAGCGCAATCGGTATGAAAATGCATGAACAATGAATTAAGTGAAGATGGACTGATATTTGCAGAAGGAACAGTGAAGATTGAGAAAATTGATGGTTATTTTGCGAATTAACTGTTTACTGTATGGTTATCAGTATTTAGTGAGATAGCCTGTAATTTGTGCTTAAATACATTCGATTGTCTCTATTGGTGTTTTTGTTCACTACACTAGTAACTTCCGGGACTTATTAGTGGACTATTATTCTATGTATATTCTTTAACTACTGAGTACCTAGATTGTGTATATATATATTCATCTTACTACAAGCTTCATTTTGACCCATGGATTATTATTATTATATAAGGCGCAGTACGTAATACTTGGAATCTGGCACACATAAAGCCTATTAACAAAGGAGGTTGTCGAGATCACCCTTCAGTCTGGTAGCACTTCTCTCGATAAGTTCTTGATATAAAACGAACTACGTAGCCACTTTCCATTCGTAAAGTTTCTTTCACGCCGACAATATTTCAGGAAGGATCACTCCTGTATAATCAACCTGTTGACAGCCATGGATAGATGGAAAACCATAGATGGTCGTAAGGGGAAGGGAAATATACTTTAAGCTCCCAAAAGCTTTTTGGTAGGATCACTCATACATGTTTTGTCAAAATGCTCAGACTGTTGGATACTGAGTTACAATTAATGAGTGGATTTACTTTATATCTTAATAATCAACCTTTTAAGGCCAGGGTACATTAATTTTCTCATGCTACAGAATTTCCTTGTGGGGTCTCTCCAGGACTCAGTAGAAAACTCTTTTCTTTTAATTATTATAAATGACCTTCCTCAGCAAGTGTCTAAGTTATCACTTTCCGCTGGCCAAGTAAAAAATGGAGAGAATTTTGCGACCAACATGATAAGTTGGCAATTCAGGAGGGTACGACTCGACTTCAAAGTTGGGTGGACAAGAACGTTATTACTTCCGACACTTCAAAGTGTAAAGTGGTTATTTTAAAACATAATGCAGGATAATTATACAAATTAACTCCGCCTGTAGCTCCTCTGGGGGTTACTGCCGGTCCCAAGCCCGGATAAAGGAGGAGGGTTGAGCATGGGGTTAGCGACCCCATCCCGTAAAAAATCAACTCGCTAAAAAACGCTAACCAGAAAAAATCATTCAAACCATTCAAACTCTACCCTGGGAGCATAAGGAATAATTATGACGTCTCATGATGAAAGCCGAGTTTTTTCGGAAGTCATGAGGCCGATGCACCTTCTTACAATCAGAGCGACAATGTTTATAGGTACATGGAATGTCCAAACAATGTGGGAGATGATGATTTGGATGTTGATGATGATGATTCGAATGTTGATGATGATTCGGATGTTGATGATGATGATGATTCGAATGTTGATGATGATGATGATGATGATGATGATGATGATGATGATGATGATGATGATGATGATGATGATGATGATGATGATGATGATGATGATGATGATGATGATGATGATGATGATGATGATGATGATGATGATGATGATGATGATGATGATGATGATGATGATGATGATGATGATGATGATGATGATGATGATGATGTGGATCATCAAAGCCTCCTTGGAAACAAAGAAAGAGGGCATTACAATGAACGTCATCCAATGCTATGCGCCTACCAACGACTACGATGAAGACGCTAAAGACCAATTCTACGACAGGTTGCAGTCGATCTTCGAGAAGTGCCCAACCAAGGACCTGACCATTCTGATGGGAGATTTCAATGCTAAGGTTGGAATGGACAACACTGGATACGAAGACGTCATGGGACAACATGGACTGGGAGAAAGGAACGAAAATGGTGAGAGACTTGCAAACCTATGTGCCTTCAATAAACTGGTCATAGGTGGCACCATATTCCCACACAAAAAACATACACGAAGCCACTTGGATTTCACCGGATCACACTACACAGAATCAAATCCACCATATCTGCATCAACAAAAAGTTCAGGAGGACGATGGAGGATGTGAGAACCAGAAGAGGAGCTGATATAGCATCCGATCATCGTTTGCTGGTCGCCAAGATGAAACTAAAACTCAAGAAGCACTGGACAACGGCGCGGACAACATCACAAAAGTTTAATACTGCCTTTCTTCGAGATGCTGACAAACTCAACAAATTCAACATAACCTTCAGCAACAGGTTCGAGGCCTTTCATGATCTACTCAATCGAGAGGGGACTGCCATGGAGAGCAACTGGAAAGGTATCAAGAAGGCAATCGTTTCAACATGTCAAGAGGTTCTGGGCCAAAAGAAGCACCATCACAAGGAATGGATCACTGTTGGTACACTGGATAAAATTGAAGAAAGGAGGAACAAGAAGGCAGCAGTCAATATCAGCCAAACATGAGCGGAAAAAGCCAAGGCACAAGCAGAATACACAGAGGCAAACAAGCAAGTGAAGAGGAGCATCAGAACCGACAAACGTAAATATGTGGAAGATTTAGAAATGACAGCGAAAAAGGCTGCAAGAGAGGGAAACATGAGACAACTGTATGATACAACAAAGAAACTTGCTGGAAATTACCGTAAGCCAGAAAGACCAGTGAAAAGCAAGGAAGGAAAAGTAATCACCGACATTGAAGTACAACGAAACAGGTGGGTAGAACACTTCAAAGAACTCTTGAATCGACCAGCTCCACTGAACCCACCCAACATCGAAGCAGCACCCACAGACCTCCCAATCAATGTTGGCCCACCAACAATTGAAGAGATCAACATGGCCATTAGACAAGTCAAGAGTGGCAAAGCAGCGGGACCAGACAACATCCCGGCAGAGGCACTGACACTACGGCGTGCCTGAGAAGATAGTCAACATCATACGGAACTCCTATGATGGACTAAACTGCCAAATCGTCCACGGAGGAAAACTCACCGACTCGTTTCAAGTAAAGACCGGTGTAAGGCAAGGTTGCTTACTCTCACCCTTTCTCTTTCTCCTGGTGATCGACTGGATCATGAAGACGTCGACATCTGGAGGAATGCACAGGACACAGTGGACAGGCAGGATGCAGCTTGACGATTTAGACTTCGCGGATGATCTGGCTCTTCTATCACAAACGCAACAACAAATGCAGGTGAGAACGACCAGTGTAGCAGCAGCCTCAGCAGCAGTAGGTCTCAATATAAACAAAGGAAAAAGCAAGACTCTCCGATACAATACAATATGCACCAATCGAATTACACTTGATGGAGAAGCTTTGGAAGGTGTGGAAACCTTTACATATCTGGGCAGCATCATTGATGAACACGGTGGATCAGATGCAGATGTGAGGGCACGGATCGGCTAAGCAAGAGCAGCATACCTACAACTGAAAAACATCTGAAGCTCAAAACAATTGTCAACCAACACCAAGGTTAGAATTTTCAATACAAATGTGAAGACCGTTCTACTGTATGGGGCGGAGACGTGGAGAACTACGAAAGCCATCATCCAGAAGATACAAGTGTTTATTAACAGCTGTCTACGCAAGATACTTCGGATCAGATGGCCAGACACTATCAGCAACAAGTTATTGTGGGAGACAACAAACCAGATTCCATCCAGTGGAGGAAGAAATCAGGAAGAAGTGCTGGAAGTGGATTGGGCACACCTTGAGGAAATCACCTAATTGCGTCACAAGACAAGCCCTCACATGGAATCCTGAAGGTCAAAGGAGAAGAGGAAGACCAAAGAACACATTACGCCGAGAAATAGAGATAGACATGAGAAGAATGAACAAGAACTGGATAGAACTAGAAAAGAAGGCCCAGGACAGAGTGGATTGGAGAAAGCCGGTCGGCGGCCTATGCTCCATTGGGAGTAACAGGCGTAAGAAGAAGAAGAAGGAAGAAGACTATTATTATATGAATTACTGTTTCTTAATTATATTCAGTTTATTGATTATTGTCTCCCATGTTCACAGCCACATTTGGCTTGATCTTGTGCAAATATTATTTTCTATTTTATGGTGTGATGTGGTCTGTCTGTCTGGTGTATAAACCAAGTATGTTTGAAATAAATGATTCGCATAGCAGAAGCTGCGATTGGTGTTCTGGACTCGATTGGAAAGGCTAGGCGAACAAGGGACCAATAAGGACGCTAGACTGCTCATACCAGTTGGATGTCATTGATTCGGCACAGTGTTAAGATTAGAAAAGTCGTATTCCGATTGGTGGATAACTCATGTGATAATAGCCGGACACAAAATCATAATGAATTGGCAACGGCCTTCCTTTATAGTCATAACAAGTATGGCAGCTAAAGTTTACATACTATATTAGATAGAGAGTATGGTGGTTTATTTTAGGTCTCTCCAATCTATTAAGATTTCCATGAAGGAATGTAAACGAACAAATGTAAAGTAAATAAAGTATTAAAATTTTGATAATTCAAAAACAGGTTAGACCTTTTGATAACTTTATATAACTCAAAGAGGAAATGAGATTTTGTCCAAGTTAAGTATCCTAATTCCTGATACTAATTTATAACTTTTTTTAGACCCTAGTTAATAAGTTATCTCAAGGTTACGTCAGCGTTGCTCAGAGGTCATCTACAAACTATAATCTTACCGTGTTTCCTCCTACTATGGGACTTTACAACAATATACATCCACGATCCCACCGTGGATCGAAGCCAGAACCTTCAGGTCTTTAGGCTGGCGCCTAACCTTCATATATGAAGATCAACTATACAAGTTGGAAGATAAGAAATGACAACATGGATCATACTATAATATCATCCACATACCGTTTTGATATGTTTATAAACAATAAATTGTATTCGGAATACTGAGTAAAATAAATAAAACAATACAGAATATGAATAAACAGAAATTCTATACAAGATAAAAGTGAGCTATTTTTTGCTTTTTAAATATAAATGTAGAAATTACTTCCATCTTAAATTAATAACGTTGTCGTAGCCCACAAGCTAATTTCACAAGCATGTACATAACTCTGAACTAGAGGTTTTATGTCAGGGTAATACTAACCGGCTGCAAGAATTAACGCTACAATGTTTGATATTGAGGGGGTATGATTGAATGCTGTATGCTTTAACTGATAGTCCATCACTTTACTTCTTGTACTATTCTAAGCAAAAATTAGGTAATTTACTCTTTGCTTATTAACAAATGAGAGGTGTGCTAGACAATCCCTGAACCCCTAATAATTGACTTTCTTCGACATACTAAGTCCAATCCATCGCTTCATTTGGAGACTAATTTCAAAATGAAGTTAGAAAACTGATAACCAGTCTGGGTAAAATTTTATTGCACCGAAACACTGAATCATCCGACCGATCTAAATCAACAGATCACTTCTTGTGTGAAAAATATTGTCAATTTAGCTACAAAAACATTTACATTGTTATACCCCATTTTGCATTTCATATATATGCAAATGACTATTCACTTGACTTCGATAAGCTTTCTATTTACTGCAGAATCTCTCGTTTTGTGATTGAGAATCATTATTCTTTATAAATAATCACTTGGAATCCCATAGGTTAAAAAGATAAAATTTGTACTTACTTTCCAGTCTTCAGAGCTAATTACTTGGAAACTACTTATGAGACTGCGACACCACTTGTAAGTCCAACTAATTCAAAAACTCGTCCCTGTTAGGAGAGCTAACTACTTTCTTAAGGGTGAATTTTGCATGTGAATGGTTTGAAAACATTTACATTTATATGAAACTACTTATACAGTTGCATTATGTTTATATTATGGTTGCACACATCGAGGTACGCAAAGTTGAATTTCAAGCTGAATGCTTCACATAATATCTCTTTATCCATTAATCATCTGATATCGTACACATATACCCTGTAGGATTTGTGATCACATATTATAATTATACTGACAAGCAATAATTGTGCATCTGAATACACAAAAATGCAAAGAGTACTTAAAATGGAATATTTGAATAGATGGGATGTAAGTAAACAGGAACAAATAAAAAATAAGCTACTGATATGATAACGCAGGATCACAGCAATTAATAAGCTTAACTGAGGTAAGATATCAACAATATAAATCTGTATTCATGCCTTCAACTATTTGATGTAAATAATTCAGAAGTGATTTTTCAAGGTGAACAAGGATAATGCTGGTTAAAAGAGATGATTTCTGAATAATAGACTTAGTAAAATGCGTATATCCCTGTACCTATTTATGTGAACGACAAGCCCGTTAGGTCATCGAAGAGTCTCGTAGAACTTAAGTATTCTATTATTAACGAGTAACATATATAGTACCTAAGATTCCATATTTAAAGAAATACTTAGATAACAGTATACTCTCTAAAGTATGTTAGTAAACAGTGCCTCAAACAAGCATTCTGTAGCCATTATTAATTAATGCATTCGGCTTGACTTCATCGATGAAATAAACACATTAACTCACTTTATTCCATTATACAATAACTGTAAGAACAATATCTAGAGTAATCATTGTTCAAAATTCTTAATAGTCACCTCTTATGATAGTTATGTTACTGCAGTAATTAAGATTGGCATAAAGTTATGTCATCCCACTGAAAAGTCACATTATTTTTTTCTAGATTGCCGTTATTATAGCCAAAAAGAAACGAGTAAGTGATATAAAGAGGTTTTCATGTACTGTATCCCTTCAAATGTTTATTAGGAAGTTTAAGATTTTGCAAACGGTACGGTATAAATGGTTTTGGAAGAAAGAAGAATACCAGTAATATTTTGAATTTATTTAAATAAATAAACATTAATACAAGGAGGCACCAGATATATATGCACCGCACTTATTCATTCAAGTTGTGTGAGGGTTGGAATACCTCACGCACATTCACACTAGAGCAGGTGGTTTTCTTAGGAGACCACACCCCGAGCCTTTGACATACGGATCTAACCCACAAGACATTGGAGCAACGTTAGGAGATGCAGTCTCATGGTAGCCGGTGACCAACAATAGGTTCATACGCCATTTGTTCACTCAGAATCCTGGAGCAAAATGTGACAAGTGTTTTGGAATCGGAGTTTTTCAACTCCCCTAGGCCGGTCCTCCACATCCACCAACCCGGTAAAAACACCGGAAATTCGATTTTCGTTCTCTTAATTTCTTGAACAACACCTTCGTCGCGAGAAAGCAGTGAGTAGTACATCCCTGGTAGTGGCTGTATACGCGTGGCTATGTGAGAGCATTTGGAGAGTGGATTCTCCCCACCCTCAGCAGTACCAGGGTATTTAAAGGCAATATTTTAAATACAGAAAAACTATCTACACATGGGACATTATCTATATATACACTTGAATAAATCTAGTTTGTTGTAAAGTAGTTTGAAATTTGATGTAACAGCATTAGAAAAGACCAGAATCTAGTCTCAGTGAAGTAAAACTATATACAATTGAACATTTCTTCACTGAAATAAAATCTTCGTTGTTTGAGTAGGACACTTTAGCTCGTCGCAGCCTTAGACATACAGTTGTTTGAATCCTATCGCTTAAACTGTTCACAAAACTTACCATGGTAATATAAGTGTATTGCTCAGTGGGATCGTTCACATTCTATTTTTCGTCCTTGTTTTTCTCTTATCCTTCGATTTTTCTAGTTAACTTTTACTTTTTACATATCATTACCTTAACAAGCAAGTGTGTGATAAGATTATTCAGAATGTATTGCACTAAGATATAACATACTTTGACAAACCTCCTCTACTCGCTGCAATATCTAAGCTTGTCAAAGGGGTAAACTGTTTTAAACAACCGATATTACTGGTACTATGGAATATAGATTATTAGGAATATTTGAGTGCAAGACTCACTAGTAATTTCAACAGCTGATGATAAACGAGGAATAATTTAATGAGTAACGAGATATAAACACACGAATTTGAAATCTAGCTGATTTTTCCAACATGTATTCTTGATTGCTGTGCTCAAGACTCAAGCTAAACATTTCGAGGCAGATTTCATGGGTTCCAATAGAATATGGAATGTCTACTTTGTATTTATTAGAAACAAATTATGGATAATTCCATGTTGAATTTCTTCTGGCCACATGTACAACAACGTAAGCGATTAGCAACGCTAACTTTGTGCGTGTGAACTTGAGGCACACTTATGTAGAGGTTGATGGTAAAGTAAAAATATACTCACGTTATGTATCAAACACAAATCCAAGGAATTTTTACCACTTGATAGGGCAGGACCGCACTTTTGGCTAATGAAGAGTATAGAGAAGTATTCAAAATGTCCTTGAAGTGAGAAACTTGACCGCTTGGCTTTAATAATGTCGTTTAAGACTGAATGAGGTAACTAAATGTTAGAGGCATATTATTGAGGTAATATTAACACAGAGCAATTTATGTTAACACTATTACTGAAGATAACCGAGGGGAACGGTACAGAAGCCTAGTAACGCCATTAACTAACTTGAAATGTTTGCAGAACTTTAGAATCTAGACAGACCTTTTCCAGTTACACACGAGAGGTTTAACACTGCTGAAGTACATCAAAGAGACTATTAAATAGGAGACTATCAAATACTGTGAAACTATTCGTTCTAATTTAGACGAGAGTTCTTATATCAAAGAGACTATGTTGCAAACATCCCAATGAAGAATATCTATATCGACCATTGATACTGAAGAACCAGAGCACTCAAATACAAAGATTTGAGTAGAGCTGTTTGTTAGAAAATAATATTAAGAGAATAATTTGTAGTTATATTTATAAACTGCCAATATCAACGAAATATCTATGCACTTCGATTCCCTTTCTCTCGAAGACACTGCTGTTTTAATATTTTGGTATTGATCTCCTCCATTTCCATATTTTTAACATACTTTTCTTGAGTTTCTTTCATTTCGCCAATCAACTGGATTATTTTCGTCTACATGATAAGATGTTGCATCTACACAAATTCAATGACTTACAGATACTTTGTATTGCTTAATAGCTCGTCTTCTTTGCCCTTGGCTTGTAAATTGAGGGTTAGCCTTTCCTGAATATTACGTTAGTCAATCCAGCTACAAACCTATGACAGTGTAGTCCGGCAAATCGGTTAATGGTCCCCATTCGTTGTTACTGGGAGGTAGGCGACGTCTTTTAATCAAAAGTTTATGCAATGTGGACAAACCTAGCCCTAAATAATCCTCCAGCTTGAGGACCAGCTGTCAGATGAATCTGTCTGGCGGTGAAAAATCTCAATACTCGCGCCATACTGTGACCTAAGTGACCTACATATCCGAAAAGTTCAAATAGTTGTGGGAGGAACAGAAGAAGCTCTCTCATAACAGACTTCCACATTTAGCAGAAATGAATCAACGATGCCTATAGGTGGGAACATGGGTATGTGAAACAATGAAAAGAGAAACAGTAATAAATTATAGTGTAATACTGTTCAAATGGTTCAAATGGTTGTGGATGGAAAGGAAGAAGAAGCTTTCACTCAACGGGCTTCCGTGTCTAATAGCAGTGGACTACCAATACCTCCAGGCAAAAACCCAGGTATATGAACGATAATAGAGGAAAAAAGAATTTGGTAAATCATAATAAGTTATCCTTAGTCCTTAAGAATAAGTCAAGTTTCCTCTAAAAGGACTCCTGGGAAGTCGCTTGGACTAGCTCAGTCGGCATCGAATTCCAGCATTTGACAACTCTTACGAAATAAAAGTTGTGTCTACAGTCTGTTTTTCTATGTTGGGTCTCCAATTTCTGGGTGTTATCTCTTAGGATTAAGTTGGGACTGAGCTCAAGTAAATGTTTAAGGGGGTGATCAAAAGTGTTAAGAATACTGCAAGTCTTTAGAAGGTCATCTCTAAGACGCCTGTACTAGAACGGGTAAAGGTTAAGTGATTGGAGGCGCTCTTCATAAGGTTTGAATTTGAGTCCCAGAACTGATTTCGTGGCTCGCCGTTGTATACTCTCCGGAGTGTCCTTATCCTTTTCGAAGTGAGGGAGGGAATACTATGTTTCTGTATTCTAAATGGGGACGAATAAAACCGTTGAAGATTATGTGGGAAGTTCTGCCGTCAAACTGGCTGAAAATGCGCTTCAATGTTACAAGTGCAAGGTTTGCTCGAAAGGCGCTTTTGTCACTGTTAGTGTAAGACTTCAAATCGTAGGAATCCAGCACTCCTAAATCTTTTTCAACTCGGGATACTTCTAGGGAGGAGTTTCCTGAGTTGTAACTGTAGTGTAGTGCTTCGTTAATCGATCGTCTTGATAACCGTTATTATAACAATCTGAACGGTGTATAATATCAGAAGACAAAGGGAAGCAGCAACTACATTTTTATTGATAACTAACATGGGCTAGAAGGCAGTGAGCACATTAGCAAATGTAAGCAAGCGAAGGAAAGATGACGCATAGTGGAAATGGCTGGGAAGCCAATATGATAATTAGAAGTATTTGAATTGTAGTATGAACTAGTAATCCCAGGAATAACGCAATTTAATCAAGAAGTATCAGATGAGCCCGAACGAATGTATTGTATTTGGAATTCAAAATTACAACAGTCATCAATACGAAGAAGTCATTGATTTATTTAAACATCACATCCGCCACAGCTCGAATTGGAGTGTAAGTGTCTGTAATCGATTGTTCGTCCTCTTCTTAAGTTCATCTTACATCTGTCCGACGGTGTATTGGATGTAGACTCTGTATTATCTAGAATGCACTCATTAGTATTAGAATTAACAACCGAAATTGGAACAGACTCACCTGGATTCTGGTATTGTATTTGATCAACGTGTCGGTTATGTATGGTCAAGTCATTGATATCCAGAATTCGCACCATAGATTTTCCAACATTCTTCACCACGATCCTCGTGGCTGGTCGAAGATCATTACCACGATAATACGTAACTTCTGCAGACTCCAAACACCTCATATTCGAACGGAGAATTCTTCCTTTTAATAGCTTTGATGGAGTCTCTTTCGTCACAGAATGCTTAGCATTTCTATATTGAAGTAGAAATGTATCTACTCCCCTCTCCAGTTCATTAAATGTCGAAGCAGCAATAGAATCAATACAGATTTTCAATGTTCTTACGAAATTTTCTGCCTGACCATTGGAACAAGGGTGCCTGGGAGCCGTAAACAGATGTCTGCACCCTATACCATTCAACCAATTAGTGACTGCATCTGCAGCAAAATGAGAGCCATTATCAGTCACCAACACCATGGGAACTCCTTCTCGACTAAACACCTTCCTTAATGCTTGAATTGTGAAGTCAGAATTCGGTGAAGTTGTGAAAAAAACTTCAGGCCACTTAGAAAAAGAATCAATAATTACAAGTGCATAGTATTTGCCAAGAAATGGACCACAGTAGTCTGCATGAATTCTCTGCCAGGCCTCAGACGATACTGGCCATGGAGTCCACTTCGAAGGCAGACTTTTTAGCTTATGACATTTCTCACAATTGTTTGCTGTACGACATATATCTGCATTTATCTCTGGCCACCAACATGTGAGTCTTGCTAAGGACTTCATTTTCTCAACACCAAGATGTCCACTATGAAGATCATCAAGGACAGGTTTGCGTAATGAAGGAGGAATAACAACACGATCATTTAAACACAAAATACCGTCAGGAGTAGTAGATAACTCGTCCCGCTTTGAATAATAGACAGGAAATCTACGTTTCAGATTAGCATTCCAACCCTTCCGTATAGCACTGAGTATACATCCAAAGTATCTACGAGTTTCTCTAATGAGATCTGGACGTCTCACCGGTAAAGGTTGCACTAACAAGCAGTCTGAAGTATTAACAGGTCTATCTTGTAATGGTTGTCGAGAAATGTAGTCAACGTGTTGAATTTGTTTTGCACTCCTGTGCTGAATCGTATAGTCATAAGCACTCAAAGCAATACTCCATCGTTGAACCATAGCAGCTGAGGAACGTGCTAAGGATTTGTCAGGATGATAAATGAACTTTAAGGCTTCATGATCAGTAACAATGGTAAACTTCTTTCCAAATAAATATTTATGAAGTCTTTTAACAGCCCAAAACACAGCTAACGCTTCTCGCTGCGTTTGTGAATAACCTTGTTCAGAAACAGAAAGTTTGCGTGAAACACATATAACTGGCCTACCTTCCTGTTCCAAAACTGCACCAATACCTACAGGTGACGCATCAGTAATAAGAACAGAATGTACACTGGGTGAGTAAGTTCGAAGGACAGCATCACTTTGAAGAAACTTTAGCAGACTTCGTAGGCATGACTCTTGTTCTTCACCCCATTTGAATGAATTGGATGTCAAAATATTAAATAAACAATTGGTACGACAAGAAAAATTAGGAATAAAACGAGAATAGTACTGAAGAGCACCCACTAGTGAACGTAATTCTGTGATATTTTTGGAGACGGTGCATTTGTCAGTGGAGCTAGTCGTTTCATATCTGGTCTAAAACCATTACCATCAACTAGGTATCCAAGGCATTCAAAACTAGATACACTAAATGAACATTTATTTGGGTTCACTGTAATATTTTTCTCAATTAAACGACGCAATAAAGCAATAAGTCTCTGGTCATGAACTACTTTATCAGCACCATGAACAATGAGATCATCTTGATAAACTTCAACACCTTCAATATCGCTGACTATCTTATTCATGACCTCTTGAAATATGGCTGGAGAACAACTAAGACCAAATGGAAGGAAGTTGTATTTGAACAGACCAAAAGGAGTGTTAATTGTTGTCAAGATAGATGAAGATTGATCTAAAGGAATTTGAAGATAAGCATCTTTCAAGTCAACTTTCGAGAACACTTTAGAACCATGAAGCCGATTTAGAATATCTTCAGCCTCCATCGTCGTGCATGTTTGCTTCAACAAACGGGAGTTCAGTGTCAATCTGTAATCACCGCATATTCTAGGGGTCTTGCCATCCGATTTCAATGGCGTAACAATAGGAGTACCCCATGCTGAGGACTGAACTGGTTCAATTATACCTTTCGCACACAAATCATTCAGTGACTTATGTACTGCTTCTCGAAGACAATAAGGAATTATTCGTCTTTTAAGAAAGACCGGATCACCCTGTACTTGAAGTTTAATGGGCTGAATTTTCATACCTCCACTACACTTAGCACACACAGCTATCAAATCCTTGAGTAAAGCATCAGAATTCTCTGTAGAAACTAGTAGAGACAATTCCACTTTAAGCCTTTTCAGATTTTTTAAACCCAGTATGGACAGTCCTGTTTCACTAACTAAAAATTCACAAGGTACGTATGAAGAATTATCATCTCTTATTAGCAATTTACAACATCCTCGTATAGGTAGTCTGTGTCCAGTAATCCCCAGTATTGAGACCTCAGTGGGTTTTACCACAACATTAGGATCTAAAGATTTCAAGTTCTTGAATGAAATAATGGACTCTATACTACCTGTGTCCACAATAAAGTCATGAAATGAACCAAGGGATGTATATAATCGCTTTTGAATATGAACATTCCCTTTTGAAGTAGTGGATAAAGATAAATGATCATTAGAAACAGCCGAATTATCGAGATCTAAGTTACCAGACTTAGTAATACTTGAAGCAAAGTGAACAGTAGTTTTGCACACTGACTGAATGTGTCCTATCTTGACACATTTAAAACATTTAGCATTACGAAATGCACATGAATTACGCAAATGAAATTTGCCACAAGATAAGCATTTACCAAACTTATTCTCACTTTCGTTGTTTGCTTTGTAGTCCCTTGTTAAACCACCTTTCATATTTCCACGAGAATAGCAATCACGATTAAACGAACGCAAATTTGATCGACCCTGAGATTGTAATTCATCATGACGACTAAGCAAAGTATTAGAAATTTTCATCGATTGAATATCAAGTTCATTCACTGCTTCGTAGTTAATACATGCAGTTCTAGCATCTTGAAAAGAACAGTTCGGCATTCTTAACAGCTCCTTTTCCAGACCTGGTATGTTAATTCCAGCAATTAACCGATCTCTCAACTGTACATGAAGCTGATCACCAAAATTGCATTTGGCAGCTTGTCTTTGCAATTCAAGGATGAAGTCTTTAACCTTCTGGTTATCCTGACGAATCATCTTATGAAATTTTGCTCTCTCACGACACTCAAAACTGGTGCACTTCACATGGTTTAATAGTAATTCCTTGAGAGTTGTATATGGGAGTGAAATCGGCTTATCTGGATATGCCAAGGTTTTTAATAAACTGTAGGCTTCTTGACCGATGA